GAAAATTACTGTTTAACTGGGTTAGCGACAAAGCATGGGTACTAAACTTAATATTGTACACATAAAGCAAGTTTGCTTTTAATGACATAGCATAAGAACAACTGTAAGTAGTGGAAACCAACAACTCCAAATAACGAGCATATCAGTAACAATGAATTCGGTCCTTTACTGCACTGACGGCAAAAAAGCTTAATTAGCTTAATTCTTAAAGTTATAGGTAGCAACAAATAGCACATTTCTTGAACTACTTACAAGGAAACGTGACTTTAAAAAAGAGGAAATTTGAAACTATAAAAACAGTCAATATTCAATCCTTAAAAAAGCTACAAGTTGATGCCTTCAAACTCCAAAGCAGAGTGGCCTAAATTTATGGGAAAACCTTGGAACCAGTCTAAACCTCAAGCGAAAAAAATTTCAATAATTCACAATCCAACTCATTACTTCACAGAAAAACTTTTACTTATCCTCAGGAGCAGAAGATAAGCGCACAAACGAATCAGACGTTACAGTCACAAAACAAATAGGAAAGAAACAATTAAAAAAAGAAAAATACGCTTCTTAAAGTGAATCTTAACAAGTAACATGCAAAATATGAAAATGTTGGAATTAACCCAACTTAGGCATCTTCCGCTATAGCGAATCGCCAAACCAATTTTGGAACAAAAAAAATATATAATTTTAGCGAACAGCTTGTTGCCAGAATTTTGACGAACAGAATGTCACCAAAATCATCAAAAATCTCCCACAGCAAGGCTAGTAAAAACGCCCTAATATAAACCTAGATCAACACTTGCCCAGGTCGGTCATGTAACCATAATTCTAGTCCCTGCGGGAGAAATATTTTCACACCAAATTGGAAATGAACGCGGCGATATACATTTCATCGAATACAGTAAAAAAAAAAAATAGGGTAAGTAACGCCAGAGGAACTGAAAATTTGTTACCAAGTCAGCATTGAAGTCTTCATCTCCCAGTAGACAATATAACTGAGATGTACTCTGTTAAGAGGATCGTAACAAAAAAATTGTTGTGAAGACGAACTGTAGATTATATACCGATTAGGTTCACAAACAAAACACAAAAGTAACTAACTTTCTGCTTTTCATTAACACCACTAATCTTTTAATGATCCTTGAAACGTAACTTATACTGACTTTAAGACGAACATCTATGAAGCAGCAAAAACCTTGAAAGTGTGGTGCTACGTGAGAAGAAAAAATAAAAAATTCTATTCCAAGAATAAGCAAACGAGCACCTGAAAGCTTCATAGGTCAATAAAACAAACACTAGTTTTATTCAGCAATTATTTCCACACTGTTATCACTAATGATCGGTAGGGCAAACCAGTGAAACGTTTTTACACCACTTTACAAGACAATGGTAGAAAACTTTCAGCTTCCTAATGCAACAGTAGTCAGCAGCTGGCGCTGCAGCACACAGTATGTGAAATAAAAAATCCTGTTTACAATACAGCAGCAGAAATCCTGCAACAACAATATTGACAGATTTCCATAAGCTTTAATTCTCTGTTTCCGATGTATTAGAATGAGACCTCAAAATGCACACAGAATTGTGTAATGCTCGTTTTTCTTCCTCGTGCCTTCGCATATATATATATATATATA